GTGTATAAACCGTTATGATTTCCCATATCAGCATTCAGATAACCTTTCCATTTCTCCCAGAAAGCTAGGGCATGTTCGACGACGTTAAACCATATATCTTTTCACTGCAAGGTGTCAACTAGGTATTGAGCGAAGTGCGGGGAAAAAAATCGAACATTACATAAGCATGACATATCGGATGTTACACATTCGATTGTTCCACAACCATTATATGTTCATTGATATTAGAATTTCCCTACAAAATTAAGTAAGGTGAAGTGCATGTTAAATATATATGTTGGTGAGATTTAGCTTTCAAAATCTATCCAGTAACAATCCCAGTTGTTTGAGTAACAGTTTTCTTGTGTGTTTCTATCTCTGTTCAGATATTGCTGAATTTGGAAGTTCTGATCTATATTAAAGTTTTGCACTTAGTGTAGAAATTTGACAGAACACGTGTACGCAACCGCTCGTGTTTGTCTTTGTCAACCACCGCGATGATCACGGCCGTACCCAAGGGAGCAGTTTTGCCCATCTCTGTCTGTTTCAAGTAGGGGTGGGTCTGCTGTAATTGGTTACGGGCGTGCATCGATCATCTGAGTTTGCAGCGAGTCGCGTGTGGAATAAAAACTGCATTTAGTGACTGTCCTGTGCGTCCCAGGGTAATGACAATCAGACATATAATGTAATCATGCATGTCATATTATTATAGCTTGTACTGCTGCATACAAAGGCGATGGCTGGTATATAGGGGGTATCTATTTCCTGTATTTAAGCAGTATAATTTAATCCCTTGGAAGAAGATACATGACTTGTACGTGTACAGAAAAAATTCCTTTGATTTTCCCTCCCAAAAAAGTAAAATATATTAATTCATAAATTTTATGCATAGTTAATACTGAAAGTAAAACTGCTTGACATATTGGTGACTATATGTACAGTACCATACAATTATTATGCATTGGTTTAACTTCTGAATCTGATTGATCGCTGAAATTACACTTTTAAAACCTAAATCTAACTTGCAATCAAAGATCCCCTTGAAATACATAATTATATATCATAAATGAAGTAACCCCTAATGTTAGCAGCAATGTCAAATGGTCGTCTGACATCAGGGGACAAACATTTTGCCAACTCACGTATCAGTTGATTAGATTGTTATCCAATTATGGAACATTAGTATGAATAATGTATCATATAAAACACATTTGTAGGCATGTTCAAGGGTTTTTACCGGTTTCTTACTAAAAAGTAAAAGAATTTTGGCCAAATTCCATCAAAATACAAACATATTGATTTTATATGCTTCAAATAATTTTCTGCTGTTACGTGTTTGAAAAAAGAGAACCTTCACCCTAGTGGAAAACCTCCAGCTTTTATTTCATATATAAAATAGTTATATTTGTGTGAAATTGATTATATAATCTGTGCCACATTAGTGGGTGTTTGTCTGCTGTACAGTGCCTCTTCCTTTACTGTGAAATTGGAATGTACCCTTGGCTTCCTTTTGTGCAAAAGCTTGAGTGCGCTTTATTGGCATAGTCCTTCGCAATACATTATATTTGGTTGAGGGCAACGCCTCTTATTTGTATTAACAGTCTAGACGTGAAGTTTTGGCTCAACTGTAAGGATGGTGAAGATACAGAATTTCTGTGCGCTATAGTTGTGTTATGTGAACTGTGAATGCCCTTCTCGCTGACCTTTTGAGTGGAGACACCATTCCTGCCCAATTAGAGCAACTTAGATTAATACTGATTCATCATCTGGGGATCAGTTATAATTGATGATGCTTGGTTGTTCCGTGTGGGCGCGCCGGAGACACGCTCTAATACATATGCACCAGGGAAGGTGACTTTTCTCCGGGACATTCGGAGCACGTTTTTCCTCATGAGTGGACAGAGCGCGGGCCGTCCCTCAGACCTCGGCGGTGATCGCAGGTAAACGACGCACGACGGAGCCGGGCTGTGGTTTTCCCCCGCCTGTTTGTTGTGGGTCGGAGGTTAGCCAGAGGAGGTGTATGACATAGCAGGGGCTGGCCCTGCATGTATGTCCTTGTTTAAGAGGAGGGAGCACATACTCGGCCTGGGTGGCAGCATTGATGGCATAGCTACAACTGTTATAGCACCATGTCGCCAGTGTTCCGGTGACAGGGGACACCACTGAGGGACCATGGAGGCTCGGATTGACCGGGTGAAGGGGGCCCTGGCTGCGGCACACCAGCGCTGGCAGCGAGAGGTCCCCCTTCTCTCCGACAAGTGGCTGATCGTTCCGGCCGCGCTCATCCTCGCCCTGGTCTGCTTCCTGGTGGTGACGCTGAAGTGGATCTGGGTCGACCACATTTTTGACAGCGTTGAGCCGACCTACGGGCACGGGGCGGTGGAAATGGCCGCCAAGGGGGACGACCCGCCCGGCATGGAGGGGCCATCTGCCACTGTCAGTCCCGACACGGAGGGGTCAGGGGACGACAAGGACCAGGACGGAAGGAACCAAGGGGGAGGGGTCGCAACCAACATCATCCCAGATGTCATCTTACCCTCTGTGCCTCCATTAATAGGTAAGGATTCAGTAGGTCGGCTGGAAGCCAATATATGTCAGCACGCCGGGATCGATTTCCCGAAAAACGGTCGTCCAGATGGATCAGTAGCTGTCATTGATGGAAAATGTCAATATCCGCACCAGGCACCCCCTCGACGCTCCCGCCAGAAATGAGCGTTTGGTTGAATTAATTATCACACACGGTTTCAAACAGCCGCAAGTGGGGAAAAGCACCTGGGACCTCAGCGGGAAAACTCGGCATCATCAATCATACAGAACGGCTCAACGTTGGTATAAAAGTTTAAGCAGTTGTGTAAAGTCTTAATTGATTATTCCGGAGTTGTAGCTCTTGTCTAATGATTTTTGTTTTTGTCGGAGAGCCATCTGTTAAGGTATTTTATGACCTTGGCATTAAGAATTCAAGGCATTTTACGACCTTGAAATTAATAATCCTATAAAAGATTCATTGTGTTTCCAAGGAGGGTGCACTTGGTTGTCACGTGCTGACACTGACCCCCCCTCCCCCCCCCAAAAAAAATCAATTAATTGTGCACAAATTAACTCAAGCCATGACTGATGAAAACTGTATAGAAGAGAAGCATCCAGTTACTATAGATTCATTCTAAAGGGCATAATTGAATCTTGACTTCGAGGCATTGACTTGGGCAATCCAAATAATAGAATTTCTGGTCACGTTTCCATATAAATGGAAGTTTTGTTTTGAGTGGCACAGGTTTCAGTTTCTGTGTGTTCGGTTGATCGTTGGAAGAATGATGTAATACATTGTACTCCGTACTCCACAGTTTCGGCAATGACTATTGCATAGAGGGTAAGGGGTGTTACATCATACAACCTTCTCCACAGTTTCAGTACACTTATGGAAACCCATGCAAAAACACTTCTCGGAAATCTGAAATTTCTATTTGTCTCAGGTGTGGAATATCATTTGAAGAAAACATTTTGGTTTGGATTTGGTTTGGTAGAGACTAGAGAGGCACAAACAGTGTTGTATAATATGCATGCTTCTTTGAATCCATACTCCTATAAAATTCGTGTGTCATTTCAAAATAATAATTGTATAAGAAAGAAAACTCTCCTCTGAAGTTGGGACTGTTATAATAATAACGAGTTGCAAAGTATATAATGTCCAACAACCTTGAAGAGGTACTAGTCATTGAGTTTAACTTGAAGCACTAAAACCTAAAGCATAAAATTGCGGTCATGGGAGTAAAATCACACCGCTGCAGGGCACTTCACTCAGTAGCTAATTCACATTCTAAGTTTTCCTGTGGGTTTTTATATACTCAGAACCAATCATTACCAACTTCTGAGAGAAGCCTAATTTTAGACGTAACTGAAACCCTTGGACACATGCAATTACTGTTTTATCAATAGTTGCCTGCATAGCTGAAGGAAAAGGTAGTTACAACACAATAGACAGCTGCGTACCTTTCCCATCATTGATTTTCTATTTGTTCCTATCTAATGTGATAAGAGCAGGGGATTTTATGCTGCACTCACACTGTAAGTACAGATGTTGAGGTGAATGTCTTGCGTATGCAAATTTCTTGCAGTTGGAATCATAAATTTGCGTGACAACGATATATAGCAAGATCCAACATTTTGTCCATGCCATTGTTGGATTCTTGGATTTATATTTTGATATGCTTGAAAACTTTTACATTGAGACTTTTTTTAACAATTGAAGAGAATGATGGTGACATTAGTACACACACACACACACACACACAGAGATGGTGACATTAGTACACACACACACACACACACACAAATACCATACTTCTGACTGGTCTGCAAAAAATACATTTTGTCATCATTACCTTTTGTTGCAAAGAATTTCAATTAAGGTACATCTAAACCTTGGAATAGATTACTTTGGTAATTGTGTAGTCAGCTAAATCCATGGCCTCCAGGTTTATCTACTTTGTACGCCTTTATTTTGTAATGAAGATCTATGCCAGCATTTGTTGGCAAGACAAAGGGCGATGTCTTCCAAATCACCGTCTGCTTGCCTGAGAATGGGGACAGAGGATTAGCCAATCAATAAAGCCACTGGTTCGGGAATAATGACGAGTAAACTGGTTTATACTGGTTCATTTTATGGTATATACATTTTAGAGGAGGAGGAATTGTACTAAATGCACATTTCTTGTTTTTGTAGCAATTTACTTGACGTGTATATTTTATTTCCAGATTGTGTATTTTAATTCCGATATCGCCCATCTTTTTACTTAAACGTTTTGTTAAATGTCATGTCTGAAATTGTCAGTAGTTGTTGTGAACATTCACCACCTTCACCCTATGAACATTATATATTATAATCTATATACTTCTTTGGAATGTCAGATTTCTTGTTTGAAAAGTTCAAACATGCAGATTTGTACAACCATTGAGATTATCCAACCAATGAAAATTGAAAGAGATTATATTCAAAACTGACTTAAGTTATCCTTTTTTCACAGAACCTGACTCATCAACAAGTAAGAAAATTTCTTGTGCGGTTTCTATGTTTGTTGCTCAAAGTTTACCATTTCTATCACCCCCCCCTTCTTTTCTTACTTTTCCTAAGTTGGAAGTTCTTGTACTTTGTAAACCTGGTGATAATGTTCAGTAACTTGACTTCTTTTTGTCAAGATAAAAATTTCAGCTATCCTGTTGGAAGAAATTCTATTAATTTGCACATTTCTTCTCTTTGTAGCATTACTTGACAATGTGTTGTATGTTTTATTTCCAACCTGTATTATGTATTATCATTGTGATGTCACCAACCTTTAGCGTTCCCTACTTATAACTGACAACATTTTTGTCCAAAATTGTCAGCAGTTGTTGTGAACATTATGAATTATAATTTATACACTTCCCGGAGGTTTGGAATCTCGGATTTGTTGTTTGAAAATGGCTACATTTCCCACTGACTGGAATGAGCTATTTCTAACAAAAGATCACTGTTCAGTTTAAATGCATCTGACTGCAGGATATCAACTGCAAGCCACAACATTAAGCGGTTGGGTAGTGCCTCATGTAATATTTATAGAGATCGGTTTGCGTGAGTTTTGGTGTCACCTTTGGGAGTTATCTTTTGATCATAAATTGTGATGATTTCTGTAACACTCAGAATAGCATTCAAAATGTATATTATATAATATCAGTATAAACATGTCTCCTAAAGTTTCTTGCAAATTTGCATAAGTCAATGTTAGTTGAGCTTAAGTTACGAATAATATTGCATCTATTTCCTTGAACTTAATGTATAAAAAATGTGCATTCTGAACAAAGTGTTACCTTTCTGAAGGGTCCTTGTTTTACAATGCAAAAATACACACGCATGCACGCACATACAAACACACACACACACACGCACACACACACACACACACACTGTGCACACATATGTAAAATTGGGCAAATCTTGTGGTGCAGGTCTACTATTGTTTCAAACTTGTATAGTCTACATTTTCTATTTCTTACTACTACATTTCTTGCGACATTTGGGAAGAATAAAAAGTGAATTGCTCTTGTTTCTCTCTGTGTTTCTGTAGCTCCAGAGACCACACCTCCATCTGGTAAGTCTACATTCTTTTCTCAAACTTAAGTTACGTCTTTTGATTAAAAGTTTTAAAATTCATTGACTGGACTTCTTGCTGTCTGTCAGTGATGGAATGTCTAGGCCTGTTTTTTCACCCAGGTGTCACTTTGTACTTTTTCTGAAAAATTTGAGAATCAACAAATTAAGTTGGTGTAGTCATAATTAACTTCTGTGTAATAGAAATTTAATTGAAACTGGAAATTAGATCATAACTGATTTAAAATGTGGTATCATATTCTGGAGATGTATCAATCATTGTACCCATTCCATTATCAATAATTATGCAAATTTATATGATCTTTAAGATTATCTAGTGAATGACATAGATTACATGTAAAACTAATTTGAGTTATCCTTTCTTCACAGAACAAGACACAACAACAAGTAAGAAGATCACTTCTCTGTAAAACTTCCTGTAATATGTGTTGTGTTTTTGTTGCTCGTACTTGTAGTTGTACGTCATTTCTGCTCCTTCTTTTCCTCTATTCCTTCTGCTCTCTCACCTTGTAAGACCATTAATTAAACCAGTACTATTGCAAGAAATCTGACATTGCAAACCTATGGGAAGTTTATAATGTATAATGTGAGTGTATTCAAAAATGACTGCTGACAATTTTGGACATCACATCAGCAGCAAAGTGACTTGGAAGACGGCTGTTATCCCAATTATGATACATAATAAATACTACCCCCCCCCTTCCAGAAAGTACAGTGGTATAGCCCCTTCACATGCCAAGACACCCCCATTTTGAAAAATAGTATAACCCCTATACATACATTTGTGTATACCAGCATACACTTTTGGAAGGGTATCTCCTTCAGAATCAATGGAGGGAAAAAAAATTTGGTACTCCATTTGGAAGAAATTCTAGTAAATGCACATTTGTTTAAGTAGCATTACTTGTGTTGTATGTTTTCTTTCCAGCTTTTGTTTTAACCTCACACCAAAGTAAGTGTTGGACTGCTGTTGAACGTTGCTTTCCCACAGTTTGCTTGAGTGGTCATGCCTTGTTACAGAAACTTTGGTGCTTATAATGGATGACGTCTACTTGCTTCAGTTGATTTTTTACATGACATAGTTTCTTTCAAAGTTTGGGAACATTATGTAGCAGATTTAAAGGCTACTGATGCTATTATTACTAGGAAACTAGACTACTTACTATAACATCTTATTACATCTGTCCATAAGATCAATGCTATGTGGTCAAGGGAAAGTTTTCCTGCTTATACATGCGTATAATAAAAAAAAGCTGCAATAACTATAGCTGCTACTTGAGTAAAACGTTTTGTCAGAGTGTGAGCTTTCATTGAAATTGACAGTCATTTGGAAGCATGTGTTTGTGGTGGTCTTAGAAGGGCATGTATGTTAATTTGCATATTAACCCTCTGCCTACTGAGGTAAAAAATGTAGCTGTTTCATACCAAATTTGTGTTGGTGACAGGGTTAGGCAGCAGGGAGAAGGTCAACATAATGACACACTCTTCATCAGTACTTGAAAGTTGCATATTCTAAACAGTCTAGACAGACTGAAGTTAGTAATTATCACAATTAATGGTTATGCTTCTTGAGCTGATGAAGACACTTAGAATTTAAACGTTACCAGTCTGTACACCACAGGTGGTTCTAGTTGTGTGAAATGTCTTTTTATCATCACAATGATAATGCCTTACCTCAACTGTGACTGGATTTAATGTATTGTTAAATTAACTTGACAGAGTTGGCACTCCTACGCACTCAGGAGTTGCCCGACTTGATTTTACAAGTTCCTCGCCGTTGGCTGCAGTTTTGTCACCAGATAATTCAAATATTACTAATTGCCATTTAATTAAAGCTCATTTAATGTATCTTTTGTTTACAGATCCTGATATAACTCAAACTCCAAGTAAGGAAACTACAAACTTTCATTGGGCAGTAAGCTTTAAGTTAAGTAACTCGCTTGTGGAAAATGTGTAAAGAAAAACTCTTCAATTATTGTTAAAATCAGAATACACTCAGTCTAAGTTTATTAAAAAATACTAAATATCTCACTGTCCATCCTATCAAATATACTGTAATAAGGTACTAAGGTAAACTTTGGGAACTTCCAATTAATTTATTAAATGATCAACAAATATATAATCAAAATCCAATCAGAGTACTCAATTTATGAATTCAAATTCAATTTTCCTTTCTTCACTTTGTGTTACCCCGCATTACGCTACTAGCAATAGAGATTATACCTTTTTGTTTTTAGCACTTGTTGTCTATGTTGTTGTATGTTTACCTTGTAGATTTAACATTCTTGTAGTTTTGTTGCACAATCTTTCTTTTCTTATTTTCCTTTTGTTCTCTTTACAGTTTCTCAATTTAACACACTTTCACGTAAGTTTTGTTTCTTTGCTTTTGTTTTATATTGTGCTTGTAATTTGTGCTTAGTAATATTTGTGCCACCCCCCTTCTTTTGCATGTTTAAGTTGATTGACAATGTGTAATTTTCCAGAGCTCAACATACCCTTTCCTTGAACCAATTTTTCCCTAGACTTCAGGTATATTTCTCTAAAATATAGGCAATTTTGCAAAGTAAAAGGCAGTATACTACTATAGGCAATAAACTGAGTAAAAAAAATTTTTTGGAAAAAGTTTTTGACTGCCTTCAATTTTGTAGGCAACAGAGAAAAAGTATTTTGAGCCTCGGTCATAAATGTTATAACTATGTATAAGGTGGACATGACATTGTATAACTTCACTACGAAACTGTTACAATGTTATTGTTCAGACTTTATTAAAAAGTGGTGATATGATAATGGTTATTGGTTGAATTGTGATGGGGAAATTAAACAAGTAAGAGTTTTGATTAGGCCATACCAATTAAATTTCTTGGTTAACAGATTCGCCCGCTTCATTTTTTTCTGATTTGCAAATAAAAATAAAAATTCAGAATCAACTGCAAAATGCTCATATTTTACCCTGAACAGTTGAAAACAGTCCTTTTCTTCCTAGTCGTTACAGTTATTCCATCTTTCAATGCAGTGGTCTCATTAAAAGTTCAGCCTGGTGTGAACCAGCCTGGTGTGTTGACTTCATGGCTTCTGTTGTACCATTTTGGGCCATAATAGGATGCCTAGGCCTGTTTTTTTTTTTTTTTTTTCACCCGCCCGCTCCATTATTTTTGTAGAAAAATCCGTTAACCAAGAAATTAAATTGGTGTGGCCTTATAAACAAATAAAAAGAGCCTAGCCCTTTGAGTTTAACAGTATCATTAACGTTGTTCCTTAACGGGCAATGCCTATTTTTAGAGATGTACGAAAATGTCCGTCGGTCCAAATCCTAATTATACTAAATTTGTTATGGCTAAATGAAAGGCAAGGCTTGAAGCAAACACATGCACCTTACCGCTTTAGAATTCTATATGCCTCCAATACGTGTGATAGTACATTGTGTACGTGGAGCAATTTTTGGCAAGTTTGGACAGCTGCAGCAGGACTTGTTTTAGGCCCCCCTGTAATATTAATGAAACAACCCTGAGTCCTAAGCTCACATGTATAGGAGCAGACAGCCTCATACGCGATTGAAAGAACCTGAATCCCGTAAACGGATTTGTCCCGCGCCGGTTCTATGTGCCCGTTAACCCCCGTATTGATCAGCGTAGTTCACGGATTACTAGTTCTGATATGTAGATGGCAGGACCTCTGTAATTATTTACCAGCAAAACGTG